GGGAATTCTCAGGCTGGGAAAAAATTATCTCTGGCTCCTCTTGAAAACTGCCCATTTATATAATGAATGCTCCCAGTGTTATTAAAATAAAAATATCCCCTGAGCAGGGGTCAACAACCTTTTGCTGCTACCTGCCACCACTGCTTGTGGTCTGAAATCCTACCGGGGGTCCAAATGTCTTACACCTGCACTTACCCTCGCCACTGACTCAAGTGGCTGGCGGCAATGGAAAGAGTTAAATTTGGTAGCCCATAAGAGCAGAACATGGAGGGCTGGAGTGTCAGCAGATGCTGGATAGAGAATAAATGGAAAAAGCAGGTAGTAGGACCCTAGGGATGCTGCCCCTGCTGCTTAGGCTGCTGTCTGTGCTAGAGTGTGGATCCACCCTGCGGTTCATCGGTTGCCAACCCCTGTCTTATAGATTCATAGATGTTTGGGCTGGGAGGGACCTGAGCAGATCATCGAGTCCAACCGCCTGCTGTGGGCAGGAAAGAGTGCCGGGGTCAGTTGACCCCAGCCAGGTGTCTGTCTAGCCTCCTCTTAAAGACCCCCAGGGTAGGGGAGTTCTTAGTACAGGTGATCAGTGGAGCTCCTCAGTGGTACACGTCACAGCAGGCATTTGTGTCCCTCAGAGGCATTGCTCTGACCTCCTCTTTAGAGAACATTTACTATATAGTTTGATCTGAAAGAGGCCATTCGTGATTCCATTACTGTGTGCTTGTAGGAATCCTGTTGGGCCATAGAGCTAAGCTCTTGGTTAAACTCTGCTTTAAAAGCCATATTTTATGCACATGACGTATAAAGAAGTGGGGAGACCAAGAAATAAAATGACTTTCCATCTCTTAAAGTAGATAAAAGTGGTAGTTACTAGCGTTGAAAAACTAAACTTAAGAGGAAGGTTTTATTTTTCCAATTATTTGAAGCCATCGATTGTCTTTGTTTGCATCTGGATCCACACCTCATCAGTCTATATTTACGATACTTGGCCTTTCTTATTAGTGTCTCTCATTAGATTTTCAGCAGATTTCTCGTTCATGAGCCTAATGCTGACTTCACTGCCATTGAGCTGTTATAAGAGTAGGAGCAGGCTTTGTATCTCATTTGTAGGCTCGTTCTGCTCTTCTTTGTATACCGGAGTTGGTGGCTGTTGTTTGTAATCTTTCATGTAGGTGCTGATGTTTCAAAGGCAGGAAGGAAGACGGGAACTTATTTTACAAAACCAGCACAAAGGTTGCTCACCTTGGCCTTCTCCCAGTGTACCTGACAGCCCCAAACCTTTAGATTTTAACTTCTTAACTAAATATATCTTCAGGCATCTTTAATGCTGGGGGAAGTGGGCTGAGTTTGCTGCTCTGAAGTCCCAGGGATGCAGTATAGATATCCATCTGCGCCCCTTTCCCTCCCCACCCTTGGTACCTTCAGCTGGTATTCAAGGGCTTTGTAAAGATGTGAAACCCCTATTTCACAGTGCCGTCTCTCCCTATCCTTGCTATTTAAGCTCCTTTCCATTTAGGAGCATTGTGAGCACGATCTTCTACATAGAGAAACCTCATTCTTTTCCTTCCCCTTCTGACTTTCCTCTTTAGCCCCAGAAGCATAGAGGGCTGCCTCCATCCCTACAATGCTGCTTCCTTCTTCTCTCAACTGTAGACCAAGCTAAGTAGCATTGATTGCAAATGGCACTGCAAATCCTCATGCATGCATACATGCAGAGCAGAGAGGGACCAAACTCATTCCCTGTCAGTCAAGTCTTGGAGCATTTAGGTTAGGGTACAGACAGTCAAAAAACCCGAGGCTGAATGGATTCAATCTTTGCAGGTTGGCCTAAATTGTGTAGATTGAACTGATAAGCAAATGAATAAACTTTCACTTTTGATTCTGAAAATGCAGCCACCTGCCTTTAGTGGCCTAGGCCAGAAGCCGAGGGGTGCTAGAGCACGCCTCCCTGCTCGGCTGGAGTAGACAGCTTGGGCCTGTGCACCCTGCAAAGCATCCTGGGATGCTGTGAAACTGTGAGTTAACTTGAATCTAGAGAGGATCTGGGACAAGTTCAATAAATTGATTTAACCTAAATCAGTTAAGCCTGATACGACATCCACCCAGATTTATCTTAAACCAGTTTCAGCCATTTTGAAAGCAGTTTATGTGCACTGAACTTCTGTCATGTTACAAATTTGAGCCAGTTTCTGATTGTTTATACTGGTTTATGTGTAATTTCTGTCCCTAGCCTTAGAGCTTGTGAGTACCTGGTGTCAAGCATGTGGAAGGAGGGACCAGGTGTTGAAACTCCCTGATGCCTTCACCAGATTGTCTTGAGTGATGTCTTCTTGGTGCCAGTGCATCACCATCACAACCAGTCCTCTAGCTCCTTAGTCCTGGGTGTGTGCATGTGGTGTACATGTGCTGTACCTGCCTGTATGGCTTCCTTCTGTTCTTGTAAGCAGTATGTGTTGTCACCAATCAGCTCTCATTACAGAGAGCTGCATTGTCATGGGGCTCACCTCCCCCCAAAGAAAACCCCAAAAAAACTTGACATTTGTTATGTGCCATGCAGTGATATCCTTTAACCATGATAACCCAGTGAGTGATGCAGGCAACAAGTTTTTGGAAGGGGCTCATATAGTGCCTGGTGTTCATCATCGAAACAGGTTTTCACTGGGAAGTAGGAACTTTTTGCGCACACATACCAATTTTGAGGAACCTTTTGTCAGGAAGGTTTTTCAGGCTTGGAGCTGAATTTCTAAGGCTTTCACCATTGCTTCTCCTTAGTACGTTTTTATCCAGGTCCTCCGGCTCTTTACTTACATCTGGACTTTCAGCTCCATCCCCTGGTGAACCCAGCATGGACAAGTACTGCAAAACACTTCAATGTATCTTTATCTTTGGCCAGCGAGAGAGAGGTCATGCGAGTCTAGCTAACTGCCATGGGGTTGTCAATGGGTTAATTGGATCACCCTCTTTCCATGCAAGTACCCTTGCCACCACAGTATTTAGCTATTTAGTGGTGAATTAGCATAGCACAGTGGGCACATCTATACATTGCCCTACGGCGATGTAGCAATGCACTATGTACAGTGTGCTACGGCACCATGGCGATCGTGTGGGTCTACACATAATTGCTAGCTGTGTTGTCGTAGTGGCACACTTCCTGCTTGTAGTGCACTGCTGTGGCGATGTTGCAGAGAAATCTTTGCGTGCACCACCGATACGGCGCAGTACGGGCAGTTACTGCACTACACCAAAAGGAAGTCCTAAAACACGGCGCAGTAACATTGCCGTATGGCGACGTGTAGGCACACCCAATATATTGTTCATTGGGTCAAAGAGAGATGGGGAGGTATAACTTTCTGGTCATGGAAGGTTTAACCTAAAAGGCAAGAAAAGAGAAGTGAATTTTGAAAGAAGTCCAGCATGCAGAACTCATATGAGCTGGGGACCTGCTCTGAGTCTTTTATTACCCATGCACAATGAAGCTGCTCCAACAGGAGAGGCTGGGAGCGCCCTGTGCCAAAACCGGGAAGAGCCCAGTGGGCAAGACGCACCTGTGGGGTGTGGGGGAATGCCAGAGCTCTTGGTGATTGGGGCTCCTTCTCAGGCTTTTCATGGAAAGCTCCTCAATGTTTTGCTTCCATGTCAGGTGTTCAAAATCTTTAGAAGTTTTGCAACGTTTTGTCCTAGTGAGCTGGTGACCTTAGTCTGTGATGGATACAAGGGGCAGATAAGGGGGGTTGACGGGAGCATAGGAATATGAGCGTCACCTTGTGCAATAATCAGTAGTCTCTGCCGTCTGCTCACTGTCTGGCAGCAGAGGTGTAGGCTGCACAGCAGAGGTGAGTTTAGGAGAGGGTTGGAAGTGGGGAGACTTTTCTTTTACATGGAGGTAGGAAGAAGCACTAGGCAAAGTCACTGGCTACGATAACACAGCTGGTCTGCAGGGCTGAGCTCTGTCATGATGGGCCTTAGGTTAGGGACAGACATTATACATAAACCGGTTTAAGTGGTCAGAAACTGGTTTAAACCTGGAACAGAACAGACATTCAGTGCACATAAACCAGTTTCAAAATGGCCAAAAACAGTTTGAGATTAACCTGGTTGAATGTAGTATGAGACTTAACTGATTTAGCTCAAACTGGTTTATGCAATGTCTGTCCCAGACCTTAAAGTACAAGCGAGAAGCTTCTGTTCAGTGCATCGGCAAAGGACTCAGCCAAAGGGAGATGTTGCCCAAACACAGCTCAGGAAGATGAGCCTAAGAGCAGCATTTTGAATGGTGCGGAGAAAACTGCAGGCACACATAGTTAAGGCCAGAGAGGAGAATTCAAGGCTGGTGACCTGATTAGCCATAAATCTCAGCAGAGGACTGCTCTCCCGGGTCTGGTATGAGCACAAGGGGAGTGGATTATTACTAAGGCTAGCTGTCGATTGAAAATCAAGACATTAAGCACTGGGGGTTTGGAGAATGTCTAATTTGAGTATCAGGCAAGTTGCTGTCTTAAATTAAGAAAAATAAAGGAAACCAAATCTAAGCATCTGCTTTTCATTTAAGGCTATCAACTCATGGTGGGAGTTCAACAGGAACCAGGTTAACTAGGTGTATGTAGATGTGAAGTAAACTTGTTTTAGTTAGATGCCCCCAAACTTCGCGTGTGTGCATCAGAGCAGATCTAAGACACCTAAATTTCATACCTGCACTTCAATGAAATTGCTTCCAACAGGTTTCTATCATGTCAGATTATTTTGTCAGTTAAAGCGCATGCTTTCAGTGCATTCTCCTCCTCTCAGTAACCAGGTGTAATGCTGATTACAGGTGTGAACCCCTCCACCTTCAGGAACCCCACTGTGGAGGTCAGAGTGCACACCTGGACAGCCCTGCTGACCAAATGGATGTTCCTGCGAGCAGGCACTGGTCCTTTGATTTTCAACTGGAGTGTCAGGGTGGACGAGTGTCCCCTGGATCCTTATGGAGGCAGTACTGACCTTTGTGATTTTCTTGCTCTCAGCTAGTGCCAATATCTGCAACGTAGTCCTGATGAGGCACACAGAGCTGGAAGAGGGGATTGACGTCCTGGACAATAATGGAAACATCGTTGGATCTTCCAGAATTGCTGCCAAACATGTATGTACTTATCATGCTCCATGCAGCTGCAAGCACATGCATGCACAGAGCTGGCTTTTTAGGTCTCTCAAAACCCTTGGCTGTAGGAACCCTGCTTGGTTGCTTTCTAAACGAGAAGAAGCATCTCAGCTTCTTTAAAAAAAATAACTGGAAACCCTAGGTCTTATCCATCACCCAAGATGTGTATAGACAAACACAACAGGGTATTCCCATATCCAGAGACTTTGGGGTACACCAAGCTAGAGATAACAGATGAGATGCCTAGAAGTGACTTTGGAGCATTTGAATCAGATCACTTGATTGGGCTGAGCAAGGGTGCGAGTGGAAAGGGTCAGTCTAAATAGCAGCCACAGTTCTGATTGTTGTCTGACCAGAAGAGCAGAAAAAGGTGTAAGGGGGTGCAGAAGCTAGAAGTGAAACTGGACAGCTTCAGATTCAGAATAAGGTTTGAGCTTTCAGTAGTGAGCATGATTTAACACTGGATCGGTTTCCTTCAGAACATGGTAGACTGGCCTTTTCTTGACGTCTTTACATTGGTGGTTCTCAGGCCCCCCTCGGAAAATGCCAGCTCTTAGCTTTCATTTGTTTTTTGCCTGCAGAAAAATAATAGAGCAATTCTCTTGTTGCAAAGAACTCAGCGAGCCCACAACAGGGCAGAATGGTTCTGACACTGTTTGAAATCGCTGGGTATATCTTGTGATTATCCTGTGAAAAGTGTATGTGTTTGCGCACCTACCAATGCTAACATTGCACATCACTCTTAAAAGGGTCTCACATCACCCTGGTTGAGAAGTACTGCTTTACAGCAGCCAGGAGATCTGTGTTTGTGTTATGCAAGGATTAGATTAGAGGATCATAAAGATTAGATAATCCTCTCTGCCCTTAAAGTTGCTGAATTCTTCTAAGTGAGATCCGATTATTCCTTCCTGCCTGAGGATTTCAACGTGGAGGTGCCCAGAAGCTGGTGTTGAATAGGAAGCAGAGAAATAACTTACACCTTTTTACAAATGAGGAAAGGTGGTTTTCTAGCTGAATCGCGATTTAACCCTTGCCATGCCAAGCTGTATTAACAACTATGAACCAAGCCTTTAGGAGGAGACCCCAGCTGTTTTTATTCACTTGCTCACACCTGGCTTACTCCCCCCTGGCACCTTCTAAACTCTGCCATCTGCTCGTGACTTCTTATTCTCCTATTCTGATGTAGCTTTGACTCTGAGCTTCCTCTGACTGTCAGACTGAAACATGTTGTTTCCAAGTGGATTTTAATCTGAAGTGTAAAGCATGGAGGTGCCCCCCCCATGCAGAGTTAATAGTGTAATATGTAGGGCTCAGTTGCATTGGTATAACGGAACACAGATCCAGGCCCATAATTTGCAGTAAAAGGGCAAAAATCTAGTATATGCAAGTAACTGGTATAGAGGTTGGAAAGTATATTCAAACCGCTATGCATACCATAGAAATGTCAGGGATGCTATTTCTTTCCCTCTGGGTTGACTGCTCAATGGAGGCAAATAATGGGACGCTTCTAAGTGGTTTTTTTTTTTTTTTATACATACACACATTTTTCTTCTTAACTTTCAGGCACTGTTAGAGACAGCCTTGACTAGAGTGGTCCTGCCAATGCCTATACTGGTTCTACCTCCAATTATTATGTCCGTCCTGGAAAAGTAAGTATTGGGGGATGGGGAGTGAAATTTAGAGGGAAAGGGGTTGGGAGGAAACGGGCTAAGATATTCAATTTAATGTGATTTAAGAGGAAATATTCTTACCAAGCTGGGCAAAGACAAAAATATATTAAAGTGTTTTGCAGTACATGTCCATGCTAGGTTTACCAGGGGAAGGGTCCAGAGGTAAGTAAAGAGCCAGAGGACCTGGATAAAACCTTACTAAGGAGAAGCAACAATGAAAGCCTTAGCAGTGTTCTCGAGGAACCATCAGCTAGATACCTGAAGTGTTTATAAACTAATATGAGAAGCATGGGGAATAAACAGGAAGAATTGGAAGTCCTAGTACAAGCACAGAATTATAATGTAATTGTGATTATGAAGACATGGCGGAATAGTTCACGTGACTGGATTATGGTCATAGATGGGCATAGTTTGTTCAGGAAGAA